CAAAATTGGACACTCCAGAGTCTGTGGTATAACCACAGCTGCTCAGTGGAGAACTCAAGGCAGCAAAGAATGCAGAGTTCCACATTCCTCTACTCTCAGAATCCAAATCTGTGCATTGCCGAGGACCAGGAGCCCTTAGGATGCCATCTCCTGTCATCAAGCCACACGTCAAACTTATCAGAGTTTTCTGATGTTATCTGTTCAAGAAAAACATCTAAGAGGGAAGCTGGCTCAATAATTATCTTGCCTTTTCTTAAGGTGTACAGCAAGAAATTCTCCAGTCTTTATTTTTTATTTTGTTATCTGTAAACTAAATTAATCTCTTAGTCTAAAATAAATTCCATTCCCTCCCTATTTTCTTAAAACAACACTTATGAGACAAATTTTACTTTCTTTGGAAAGTAAAAAATTTCTTTGGAAATTTTTTCTTATCTGACCATACTGTGATAGGAAGAAAGGAGGAAATCCTTCACATCATGAATTGTGCAGTGATCTGTCTAAGTTCCTTGGGAACCCTTTAAAGCTAGTGGCAATTGTGCCTCCCTCCATTCAAGAATCACTAAAGCAGATTTACAAAAAGCAGATGCATCAGAGCACATTTTTTCCTATGCCTACTGTTTTCCTGTGCAAAGGTGATTTTATGTGCTGAATTTGTCCCTACTGTGCAACAAGTTCTTCCACACATCGGGATATTTCTGCTTCATGGATCTTAGTGTGTTTCCCAGCATTTCAACGATGCCATTGTTTTTCTAGTTGCCATTATTCAGCCTGGTAAGGGGCAAACTCTAGAGCTCTGGAATTGGATCAATTTCTTTGGATCCTGAGGTTGAGTGCTGTGTTGTCCTTGATATGAGCTTGTTAAATGTAAATGGAAATGTAAGCAGTGTGTGGAATGTTTTATGGCACCTGAGCCCTTCTCTCTTTCCCTGAATAATGGGAACACCTGAAGTTTTCACCTTTTATATGGATACCTGAATTTGGGGATCTCCTGTAACCAATAATTTTGAAACCTCTAACTGGCTGAGTTGCTCTCTGTTTTTTCTCCTGGTTCCTGTTTAGCCCTTTTACTAGAGTATTTATGTGAAGAATATTGGAGTATTTATGTGGTTTTTTACCTGCCTGTCCAGGCTCAATCTCTTGTGTGGAGGGGATCAGCCCACTCTCCTCAGACCTAATCCCAGCTAAATATCCATTACAAGGATACACTTATTTCCTGCAATGCTGATATACATTGTAAGGAACTAGAACTGGTTTTGGTTGAGGCACAAAATACAATTTGAAATGCCAAGATTTTTGGTTATTTTTAAAATGACTTGTGAATAATTCAGTGATTGGAACTACAGAAATAGCTGGAATCAAGACAAATAGGTGTTAATAAAGTGTTCCTTTAAAATGGGTCTTATTTTTGCAATACAATGGAATGACAGAATAAACTTAGACTGATTTAAATAACAGTCTTAAGGGGAAGTTGTTTTGTTTTGTTTTGATTTTTCATGCAAAGAAGGGTTTGAAATGATTTCTTAGGAAAAATTTTAGCTCACATGGAAATGTGTTGTTAAGTTGCGCTACGCTTGAATTTTTTTCCTAATCATCGAAAGCTGTGTCAGAATTTTGTAAGAAAATTTCCGGGTATGAATGTTTTTAAAATAGCTTTCATAATACTGACTGGTCACAGTTCCTTTAAAAGCGGGCAGAGTCCATGGAGCTGTTCCTGTTTCCAAAATAGTTGGCATTCAACCACCCAGCCTGTATAATTTGATAGAATTAGTGACTATATGTCAAAATCTTGGGGAGCTTTGTTCAAAATAGGCATATTATAACTAATTAAAATTTTCCTTTCCACCTCTTAGTTTCACAGATTCAGCATCAAAATATATTTGGAAATCATTAACTTTAGTTTGCCCTCTAACTGCTTTCTTTTGTCTTGAAAGCTCATTCCTTTTACTAAAGCATCTGAATGCCTAGGAGGACAACTGTGACCTTTAAAGTGAAGAAAGAAAGATTACTGCACTTAGCTTGTTGTGAATTTATTTTGTTGGTTTTACTTTTTTTTTGGCCATTCAGAACATCAGTGTAGGTGGGTTTTTTTTTTCAAACTAAATGTGCACTTAAAACACTTCAGATAATACTGAAATGTACTTAAAGGAAAATTACCTTCTCTACTGTGTCCCTAGGATTTAGATTCTTCCCTTGGAACAAATTATATTGTTAGCTTCTCTGAAAACTTGTTTTCCATTTTTAAACATATTCTTCTTTTAGATAAATCATCAAAAGTAGACATTTTAGCAATGTCTTTTCTTTTTGGTTTGTTTGTGATTTGTTTTTTCTTTCCTTACACACACTTACTTCATGCGCTCTTCCAACCCACATTTTGTTTGTCTTTGGCACTGAGAGACTCTTACATAATTTCTCAAAAATACAACAGTGTTCAGCTATAGTAGTCCAAAAGGCTACAGCCTGCATTTTTGCAGAGGTTTGGGATGATGACAGTAGAATGGTGTATTGTTTCTGATAGGGCCTGTTTTCTGAGGTTTCTTGAATGTCTGTTTCTCTGCCCTTGGCCTCTTCTCAAGTTTCTAATAAACAGGGCTCAACAAGGGAGTGGGTGACACAACTTTAACTTGTGCCACTTCTCAAACACAGCACTTACAGTTTCTTTGAGGAGATGAGCTTAAGGAAAAGAACGCTCTGTGTGTACCACAGCTGCCATCCTTTGTTAGTTGCTGTTTACATGGTCGGTAATTGGTATTGTATATTTTTGTGTAATAAGTTAGCATTAACCTAAAATAAGCTCAGTACAGTTAATTCCACAAGCATTCACACCAGAGTAAATGAGAAATAGTTCCCTGTAGGTCAGTGCATATGCTGCACTCTTTGTAAGGGGAGAACCCAGCCCACTAGAACAAGATGCAAACTTTTTAGAGCACTGGTTTTGAACTAATGGATATTCAGCCTCACAGCTGGCTTTTAGGTAAAGTGCATTAAAGATTCAGCTCCTGAATAGTTAACTTCTACTATTTGGAGTAGGTGTCAGCTCTCTCTGGCTGCAAATAGCTGTGAGACAGGCCACTGAGTGTGCACAGCTGCAATATGATTTTGAGTTTTGAAGCGTAACTCTTTGTTGTGACTTGTCTTTGTACTCTCTTGCGTCTCTTGGGTATAGGTGTTAAGTTGTATGTTTGCTTACATGTATAGATACAAGGCTATAGGTGTAGATGCATATCTTTGATTTTCCCTAGCAGTAGGAGCTCACTTTTTCTGTTGGCTTAGAGCTATACAGCAGTGCCTGTGCTGTACACTGCTGTGGCTGGCAGTGTGAAAACACTGAAGTCAGATGAAGTTTGTATCAGGAGGTGTGCCTGTGGTTATATTGGTACCAGCAATTTGGTTGCTGAGCAGGGATTAAGTGGGCCTGCAGTCATGTGTTATCCTGTCTGGATCAAGTCCATCTCCTGCCTCGTTTCCTCTGACAGGGGCCTGGGCTACAGGCACACGGAGAACAGTCAGGGTGTGAGTTATGGTAATATCTAGGAAGAAAAAAGCCACCTGCACACCTGAATCTCCCTAAAGTAGAAAATATTCCCAAAGAGGAAGCATGCCTTGTGTAGTCCCCACTGAACACCTTTGCTCCTGTGCCATTGCATGGTCTCACTGCTGCACTTAGATGTTGTCCTGCCACCTGCACACCTGAATCTACTTTCCTAAAGTAGAAAATATCCCCAAAGAGGCTGAAAATATCCCCAAAGAGGAAGCACGCCTTGTGTAGTCCCCACTGAACACATTTGCTCCTGTGCCATTGCATGGTCTCACTGCTGCACTTAGATGTTGTCCCCTCTCCACCTAACTCATAGAGTGGAACTCTAGAGAGAGGATGCACAACCTTCTCTTCATCACCTGCCACTTCTGCATGTGATCCTCCACTGATTACACTCCAGGCAGATTCAGAGCCTGCCTTTTAAAATGTGGCCATAACAATTGTAGCAGGTATTGACTAACAGACTGTTAGTCGAAGCCCTGGTGCTCAGAATCTACTCTGAAATGGCATTTGCTTCCCTGCTGCACACGTAGTAATGCTTTAACAAGTAATAGATTACAGAATGAAGTTTCTGCTGTCTCCCCTGGGAGTAAACTAGGCAAACAATGATTAGGAAATCTTAGCTGATAATTGTTTAAATGTTTTGTTTCTTAATTTCATCTTTTTCCTTGGGCAATTTTGCATTAACCTAAATAGTTCCTTTCATTCCTCAGTGCTTGTGTTTCCCAAGTTTTTGTAAACCACTACCAAGTCTTCCTTTCCCACAGGCATTGCTTATCCTAACTGTTGACTGAAAATCAATCCCCCCATCTAATGACTCTGTCACTGTTCTTTGAACTCTTTCCATTTTACATTATCCATCTGGCAGCAAAACATCCAAAACTGCACGCAGGCTGCAGATGTGGTGGCTCCGTAGCTGCTGAGGCAGGGATCTGTTACAAACCATTGTACGTCAGGATCGAGCTGTTTCTGGATCAGAACTCAGAAAGCAGAGTCATTTGTCTCTAGTTTCTCTGCTCAGGACACCTGAGGGTAATGAGAGACTTGTAACATCAACCTACGGAAGTTGTGTTTTTTCTTAACCATGTACCCTTAATTTTTGTTTTGTTTGTGTACACCTATAAACACATTTCAAGCTCTTGTTCTCCTCAGAAATATAAAGCTTTCCAAACCTGGGGTCCAACTGCTCTTCCCAGTCTGCTGTTAACAAGTAAAAGCCAGCAGGCTGCTAGGCCAGGCCAGCTGGGATATGTGACAAGGGATCCCCTGCTCTGGTTCTCTGCTCTGTCCTGGATTCTGCTGGAGTCAAAATTGAATTGTGATGTGTGACTATCATACTATCTTCAACTAAAAGAAGAAGATATGACTGCACACATGGAAATTGAATTTCAGCAAAAGTATTTTAGTTTTCATTTGTGATATCACAAGTTCACAAAGTGTTTTTTCCTTCTTTTCAATTTAACAGGTTATCACTGCTAGCTTATCCCCGTTCTTCTTTGTCATGACTGCCAATGTACTAACAATTTCCTGGTAAGTGCCTACATGAGGTTTTTGTTTAGCAGTAAAGATGAATTTTCACACAGTGCTTCATGTGGAAATATTTTTAAATATCAAGTTCTATTGCTGTCAGTATTATTTTGCATGTAAGGGGAACCAGGTGTGCAATGGTGGATGCAGTACAGTAATAGAAAAGTGTTGCTTCTGCCTCTGTGGGAGAACATGGACATTTTAGACATTAAGCCTAACCACAATTCACTCAGCACATTTTACTGTGAAGCAAATGGACCCAATAGGCAAATAAATGACCCATTCAAAGTCATGCTGCAATTTAGTTCTGGAACTGAAAGTAAAACACAGGAGTTAAGGTTTGCTGACAGTATCTTTTTAACCAAGATGGTGCATTCAAGTTTCCCTAACACACTGTGCATTGTGAATGCATAAAATTAAACTGGAGAAAAATAATGATAATAAACTTTTTCCAGAGCTCTATCTGGATTTTGTAATGTGTGGCCACACAGTACAAACCACCTAACCTGAATTTTTTAGGTAGTAATATAAAGGATTGGGTTGCAAACTCCTTTGGTCAAAGGCAGTGTTTTTGATCTGTGATTCCCTTTTACAATGAAAGGGAATCACAGAGCATGGCTCATGCTCCTAAATGCTTCTGCCATGCAAATAACTTCTCAATATGGGGTTAGGCATATGTCTCTGAGGACAAATTTGTTAATAGAAATAAAAATCTACTTACTTTTGAAAGGCTTTAAGCTTCTTTCTTTCTACTGGATTCATGATTCATTCAGTTTGATTGCCATCCTAAAGATTCAGCTCTGCACTGAATGGAATTTGCATATCCTTTCTTCAGGTGTGATAAGAGACTTATAGAAAGGAGAATCTCCAGTTCAGACCAGCCCCATTTACTTATGTGTTAATATGGATTCCTGTCTGTATTTTAGGCACATGTAGTCTCAAATGCTAAAGTAAGTTGTGCATTTTTTTTAGCTCTAGAAAATACATGCTGCCTGTGCATGTCAGAGACTTAACCAATGTCAAAGCACCTACAAAACACTCCTAGTCTAGGCCATTAACTTGCTGCTCTTCACCATGTTTTGCATGTGTTTGTGCAGGTCTGTCACGTGTGTGCTAGAGGCAGGCTTTGATTATACAGCTGTATTCACTGACGTATGCACTAAAAATTAATGTGTACCTTCATTAATGTGTACCTTTGTTAATGTGAACACATGGACACATAGAGTTGCACATATGTCACCTGCCCTATATGGACTGAAACTTCTATAAATGATGAACACATCTGTATGCTTAAAAGAAAATTAGCTTTAGCCCTTGGGCCACTGTTACACTTTGATTGTCATAATTTAAAAAGAAAACAATTTCTTTTATTTATTTATTTTTAAAATTTTAATTCTGTTAGTGCTTGTGCATTAGCAGGGCCTTGACTTAGCAGCAAAGCTCTGGAAATAGTTTGTTGGGTGATAGCAGCTGCAAAGTACCCATGAGAACATTAATCACTGAGGATTTTAGTGCTGCTCCAGTGTGGTCATGGACAATATCATATGTTAATTTTTGAACTATGGGCAAGTGCAGTTAGCTGTCACCCCACTATAAACAGAAGCTGAAGGGTTTGCCACATGGGAAATGAAGGTAAAATCAAGGGCTGGCATTTAGCTGTGGTTTTTGCTCTGCTTCATCTTGAAGATAATAACAATGGTTTCCATTTGCCTAGTAATTTGGACTGCAGGGGCATGTGGATCCCAAGATTTCAAATGCTTCAGAAAGGGATTCTTCTTCTCTGATGTAAGACATATGGTATTAAAGAACAGGCATCTTTTTACAGAACAAGGCTGGGCAGTTTATTATCTTTTGTATATAAGTGCCAGTCTCATTTTTGAAATGGTATGCCAGAGACAGATTTATTTTTAATCTCTGTTAAAAATTTAGAACACAGCACAACTATAGAAACAGGAAAATATTTTCTAAGGTATTCTGTATGTAGTGTTTTGGATTTTTTTTTCCCTTTAGGATAAAGGGTATATTATCCAACCATAGATTCCAAAGGAATTAATGTATAGGGTATATTTGTACTGGAGCTGAAATAAGACATGGGAGTTAACCCTCTCCAGAAAAAAAGCACTCAGAAGTTGTTACCAACTGCAGGTGGCCAGACTCAGTGGTTTAGACCCTTTTTGAAAAGCTTGCAGCTCTTGCAGCCTTTTGCTCCTTGGTAATTCCACACCAAAGCTATTCTGTCTTCCCAGTGGACTGTCACAGACTGCCTGTAGCACCTACCTTCCAGGGCTGTTTACTGTGTAATTGTAGGATGTTGTGCTGTTGTTATACAATATTTTTTTTCCTCTCGGGAACAAGGGCAATTATGTGGTTTTTAAAACAGCTCACCAAAGCTAAGATTTAAGTGAATATAATGCTATTAGACCAAAGAGCCTTCAGCTTTACATGCTTTTTTTTTTTTCCAAGGGAAAAAAAAAGAATACTCTTAGAAATGAACTTAACAGAAGTTTGTTTTGTTTATAAAGTTCAGTAAGGAGCTTTTCTGTTTCATAAGCTAATTAAGCCATGGGGCTAAGATGAAAGGTCAGTACACTTAGCTTTGCACTGTTCTAAAAGGGGAGAAGAATCGGCATCTTACCATATTCCTGTCAGCTGTGAGAGATAACAGAGGAGACTTGGGGATTATTAACTATTGCATGCATTGAGTGGGTGGATAGCATATTTAAGTGAAGGTTTTTGTAAAACCATTCATCCTGACTTGGAGCCCTGCTCCTAGGCTGACTCTTAGGGAGCAGCCTTGGTGCCACGGCTGTGCTGTGAGCAGCACAGGAAAGCAGTGCTTGGGCACACATGCCTTTTTGGCTGGGGCAGCTCCTTTCACCTCACCAAGAGAGGCAAACACAGGAATTTTTACTGGCCTCACTATGCCAATGGGGTCACCCCAGCACAAAAAAGGTTTTCCCAGATTTCACCTTGTCCACAAAACCTAAGCTTTACATCTCCTGATGTTGTCAAGTGGCAAGTTTTCAGGACAGAACACAAACAGAAATTGTGAGAGGGAATCAATAGGCTAATAAGGTTCAAACTCTCTTGTCTTCCTTTCCTATTCTTGCTAGTGTAGGGGTGTGCAGCTATTCTTGTAACTAGGGGCAACCTTCTCCATTTAGATTCCTGTCTGTGCATTTTTACTGAATAGCACCAGCCCTAAAATACAAGAAAGGTAGTTTCTGATGAGATCATTTAAATGAGATATTTTGGGTTTCAGCATTTTCTTAGCAAAATAAATGAAAAAATCACCTGGGTTACTGTTTCTAGGTTGGAATGTGTTTAGATAAAATAATACCTTTTTTGTATCAAGTAGAAGGACTTGCATGATGCTAAATTTGTGATATACTTTGTTTACAGCCTTGTGATCGGTGGAGTTGGAGAAGCGTTGCTTGTTTACACTGAAAGGACAGGCACATAAAGAGGAACCAGATCTCACCAGATGGAACAGAGCTGACTTGCAGCCTAGAGACACTATCATGAAAAAAAAGTGGCAGCAGGAATGAAGAAGTGCAACCAAACATGAGGAAAGGGATCTATTGTTTTTGGTTTTTTTTAATTAAGAAAAGAACCTATGCTATTAATAGTGCTGGTAAGGGAGCAGCATAGATGGCAGAGATGGTAAGGAGCCTTTGCCTCAAAGCACAAGACCAACTATATCAGATTGATGTGGTAAAGAAAAAACTGCACTGTATCATGCTGATGGCTCTGTGTGAGCACCACTCAGTAGCAGCTTCTTGCACAGGGAGCTAAACTCAGGAAAAGCAGCATTCCCCACTGGGTGCCCCTGGTGGTTTTTTGTTTTGTTTTGTTTTTTGCTAAACTCAGGAAAAGCAGCATTCCCCAGTGGATGCCCCTGGTGGTTTTTTGTTTTGTTTTGGTTTTTGGTGTTTTTTTTGTTTTTTGTTTTTTTTGAAGCAGACAGCAGGTCATACCAAACAACGTATAAATTCAGGATCTGGAAGGCTGGATTTTGCCTCCAACTGTTCCGTAAGCAGCAAGCTGCCACACACAGGTCTCTAGTCATGTTGTCTGAACTGGCACAGGGACTGAGGCCAAAGGGCTTGTGGAGATAATCCCCTTCTGGAACTGTGGCATTTTGACAGCCTTTCAGAAAGGGAAAATCAGCAATAAATCTCAATATCTGTAGTGATTGCTCTTTGTGAATTTTTTTCTCTCCCATTCATTGAGATTTCTCTTGAACTCTGCCAATTTTTGTCAGCTGGAGGGGGTGGAGGGACACGTACTGTTCCCAGCAGTGGCTTGTCTCTTAAATTATTGCAAGAGGAAACAAAGAACATGAACCTTGAATGAATGTCATAAAGAGTGTAAGGAAATTAATCTCAAGAGTTCTTAAAGTAATTTCATTTCTGGTTGCTTAATGGCTGTTAGAAATTAGTCTTGATATATTAGAGCCTGCAATCTATGTGAAAGTAATATTAAAATGAGTTTATATTGTGGGAAAAGTCTACATGGTAAAAGGAACTTGATAACACATCTTCAGTGAGGAAAGGGACTTGTCTCACTCAATGTTAGATATGTAAAGTGTAGTCCCTTAATCCAAGTTGACCAAATTTCCTTCATAGTCAATGGAAAGAGGGTTGCCCTCACAGAGATGATCCTTCTTGAATAAATTGCTGTGTTAGGAAGTGCATATTTCTCTGTAGACAGAAACTGGGTAACCAGTCTAGACAAGACACATGGTTTCTGCAAGGCTACAGTTACCGGAGGCTTCAATCTAAAAAATTCCTCCAGATGGGCTTGAAAATATGGCTACATTTTAATTTCAAATAAAACACCATAGCTTAACAAAGAAGGTAAATTTTACAAATGTTTGCAGTCAGTTTCTATGACTGGAGAAATTTAGATAAGAGATTAGTTGGTTTTCAGAAAAAAAATGCTGCAAAGAGAAGCTTATAAGAGAAGTACTCTGGTCAATATTATTCCTAAGCTTATTTCAGTCTATCACAAAAGGTCTATTCATATGGGCATGCTGTCTGTGTATGTTGGGTCCCACTCTGGCCTTGAGTTTGGCATGAGCCATTTTTAAACCAGGTGGTAAAACTCAGGTTTGGGAAGAAACAGGGAATAGAGGCACAAGCATGAAAAAATAAATGCTTGAACTTGAGCATGAGTCCAGAAACCAGCATGAACCACATGGGAAGTTGGGCCCATCCGCCCAGTGAGCCATGACACAGCCAGCCATGGGTCCTCATAGCATTCCAGTCTGTAAATTCAGACAGTGCTGAGAGTGATGGCTGCAGCATTCTGGTTTTCCCCACACAACTCTCTCTGCCAGCCAGTTGTGGCAATGCAGTAGGATCCTTGCTGTGCCATCTTTCTGCTGACTTTGAAGTGAATAGTGACCCTAGGAGACCTCATGGAAGACTCCGTGTGTGATTGCCGAGGTTTTGCAATCGTAGCTGGAACCTTCGCTGTGGGAAAAGCTCATCTTGTACCTCTCTTCTTGCATAACTTTCAAGGGTAGGCTGCAGTCTGGTTTTTTTTCTTCCTCTATCTTGCCTGTGCTGTTCATAGCAATGTGCAGAACACCCATTTGCTTTCTTGCTGGTGGTCTCAGTGGAAAGGCAGAGGCCAAACCAGCAGCCAGGGCTGCAATAGCACTTTGATCAGAGGGCATCTTGGCATGGCTGCAGGAAGCTTGTTTGGCTGCAACAGGAATTTCTGTAGTGTGGGCTCTGGGGGAATTCAGTGCCTGCAGATGCTGCATTAGTATCCTCCTGCACAGTAAGGCAACTGCCTTTTTTTTAAACTCACCATGTTAAACAACACAAAACTGTTTACCTTCTGCTTGCGTTTTTTTGTGCCTTAGTCCAATGTGCTTGCATTTCTGAGACTCTGCTTGAGGTAAGTAAAAAGCACAGGTTTAAACTGATTGCTACGTAAGCAAATCAAAGAACCACAGGTAGCAGTGGAGCTGGACTCCTCTGTCAAACACAACTGGTTCAGTACCCTCTGAGCCCTGCAGAGCAGCATGATGCTCATAGTCTTGCTGAAATTCAGATTAGGGTGAAAACAGAGCTCAGTGGCCTTCAAAATCCATCTTTGCATATTTGGAGTTGTCTTAAGGTGTTGAAGGCATGGCTTGGCATCCTTCTTGCTCAGGCTGTGGCAGAGGGGGCAGCAGGGCCAGGCTCCAGTGTGGCATCTGCCTCTGGGAGAGGCCTGTGAGCCAAGGGCTGGTTCAGTGCTGCTCACAGTGAGCTGCCAAAGGGTCAGCCCTGTGGTGGGGCAAGCAGTGGTGGGCAGAGAGCCCTTGGGGGACTTCTGGCTGTTGGAAGAAGTGGTGCCTTTCTCAACACATGTGTGCTGAGCTGGGGATGCCAGCCAGGAGCTGGTGACCTGCAGCAGCTGCAAAGCCCTGAGATGGCATCTCAGCTGCCAGTGCAGATCAGGTCATACAAACCTAAAGGTCAGCTCTGGGAGGGCACCAAGAAGACCCTGGCTCTTCACCACTGCCCTTGGGAAGGTGTGTGTTCCCAGCAGTGGCACCCAAGGGAGCAGAGACACAGAGCTGTTTGGGCTCCCTGGTCCTCACAGCCCTGGCTGAGCAGGCGATGGCAGCAGAGGAGAAATGTGGGCAAGGCAGGCACTACTGGCTGCTTGCAGAGGTTGGGGACTGGAGGGGATGAGGTACAAACCTGGTGATTTCCTGAGAAAGCAGTGCCCTGGTCTTTCATTCAGCTCTGCCACAGGAGGAGGGATGCTGCATAATAAAGAACACACTTCAGGGCTGTTAAAGTGATCTTAAAAGCAGAAAACCTCAGAAGTTCAAGCTTAAAATGGCTCTTGCAAGACTTGTGAACAGTTACGTTAAGTAATATGAAGCAGGAATATGCAACGTTGGAGCATTTATATCTAATTGATCTTTTTTGAGTCAGTCAAACATACAAAGTGCCCAACACACAGCTCTGAGCAAGGAGGAGCTCCTTTAGGTTGCAGAGAAGCAATGACACTGATTAATGCCTGAATGCAAAGTGGTGGGTCTGTAGCTCAGCTGAGCTACACATTTATCAGTATCCAGCATTTAAGGAATTTACTGTTCTTGGGTTGTCAACACATGTGACTAGAGAGAAAAAATGGGGTGTGCTGGTCTTTCTAAAAGGCAGCAGGTGCTGGAGGCTGTTCCATCATGCCCTTTTCCCATCTACTGGTTTTGATCAAATCACTGACAGAGATGGTCCTGAATCAAGTCATACCTTTTTGATCCTACCTTGCTTACACCTATTTTCCAAGTGTCTTTTTTCTTTCCTTACAAAGTAATGGAGACAAGGCTTGTGTTACCCACTGCAGTGACATGACTCATGCATATGGCTGGCCTTCATCATAGAGAGCATCTGCTTAAAGCCAAGTGCCATCAAAAGAAGACTTGAAGAGTAAAGCTGCTTGATATGGACTACAAGTGGATTACAAAAATGCAGGCCACAGGGATTCTGTTTTGAAACAATCTTCTGGATCTGGCAGCTGTAACATAGCTTCCAGCAGAAAATGTTATTAAATTAATTAAATGAACCTGATACTTAACACTGAAATGAATCTTTTGTTGCTTATTGCTGTGTTGTGTTGGCAGAGAATCTATGCCAATCTTTCAATAGAAGCTGAAAATCTGCAGAGCAAGTGATCTTAGCAAAAAAAGCAATAGGGAAACCTTTAAAGTTATTTTTAAAAGAAGGTCTGGACCTGTTAAAATATTCAGTGAGGGATAGAATTGTGATTTACCATTACTCTTTGTAACACCTGTGTCTGAGTTGGTGGATGAGTGTATATATATATATATATATATATATATATAATATGTTCCTCTCCCACCCTCTAATAAGAAGATCTAAAAAATTCAAGAAATGTGATGTCAGCACAGCACATGCTTTGAAAAGGATGCTTTATTAAGTATTGTAGAAAAGTTTGTTGCTGGGAGCTGTGCTGAGAGCTGAGGAAAGGTTTCCTGCAGCTCCTGTAAGCTGAAGGAGATGGTGAGTTGAAGAAAACTCCATGGCAAATTTGCCTTGCCCAGAGCTGAATGAATAGCTTTCAAACAGATCATCTGCTACTGTGAACCTGGCAACAGGCTCAGTGTGGAACTTTAATCCTGTTCCAGAGGATAGACACAGGGACAGGCTCATTTGGGTTGAAAAGAAGGCGTGGGTGAGGGGAAGGCGACTGGGGGCAGGACTAAAAAAAATTGAGGCTGGCATACTTTTGTACAAGGATGGGATTTGCTTCTGAAAATGTGTTTCTTATTCGTAGGTTTGGGGGGGTGGGGGCTGGGGCTTTTCTTTGTGGGCTTGTTGTTTTTCTTTTTTTAAATTAGAGTGTATTACAAATACATGTCTGTTTAGTCCCAAAAAGGAATTAGAGGAGCCTATGAAGGTTGTGTAACTATTTCCATATTATTTGGCCGGTTTGGGAAGCTTAACCCTTTTATTAACTAAAGTGTCCTTGTGTAAGCCTTGATTTCTTCTGGAAAATGGACTGTTTTTTGTAATAATGCTGGTAAAAAAAACGGCGCTCTCTTCTTGATCACCAAGATGAGGAAGTCTTCAGTATCTGTGGTGGGAAGGAGTCACACTACTCTTCTACCTTTTAATAATTACCTTGGCCTCCACAGTATGTGGGAGTAGCCAGACAGCATGTTAAGTTCTTGATTTGATGGTATACAAAACCCCTTTGAAAGCCACACCAGGAACATGATCAGCAAATTTTGTCTTTTGTTCTATCATTAATATTTGAAAACATATAGCCCAGGACTTGTTCAGCTGTGAGTTTGCTGCCCATATAGAGAAGGCTGTATAAAGA